TCTCCACAGGTGCCGATGAGGTTTTGTTTCTGGCATGGCTGATGGGTGCGTAAGATTATCTTTTCAATGGATCGAGAATTGATGTAGAGGAGCAAGGGGCGAGGTTGAAGGAGAATATTCAGGCAGATACAGGTTTTTTTTTTTTTTTTTTTTTACTGTAAAAAACATGGTTAATATGTTACTATCTGTTTGAAAACCGATCGAAAAGATCATATACTGCAATCCACCTTATTTCTCACTCGGAGAAGCGTGGCCACTTGGCCACACGAGGGAGTGCAGGCAGATACAGGTTTTATAAACAGGGAGACGGATATGAATGAGAAGGAAGAAAAATTCTTTACGACACTATTACCGGAGTATTCCATATCTAACCCATATATGCCCTTAACGCCTTCCGTTTCCGATCGGAAACGCGCGATTGTTTTCGATAAATCGCGCGATACCCCTCGTTTTCTAGAAATCCTAGTAATAAGTTGTGTTGGGATTGGCCCAACATTCAATCTGGTCTGGGCTCAATAGGTTTAGTCACATCCATGAGACTCAAATTGTGGAGATATACCCACAAGGACAGTGACACATGGATCAATGGGATGCATGCACATGTAGCCTCGTGTCAGTACATGGAGTTATAAATACCCTCAACTACTTCCATACAAGGTATTAATTTCATTACGTTTCTCTTTCTGCAATTATTCTTTGAGAGCATTTCTCTTTAGAACATTGAGTATTGCTAACTTGAGTGTTATAATGTTTTTCCCGAGAAAACATCCTCGGGAATTTCAGGTGTTGAAGTAGTTGAAGACGTCTACAATATTAGATCTCAAAGCTGCCCAAACAAATTGATTTTTTATTTGATTTATAATTCAAAACAATTTAGAGTATAAAACATTTTTTCATTTTACTTATGATAAAAAGTTACTAAATGTGCATTTAGAAAAATTTATCTTAAAGTACATCTACACATGCCGCTCTTTTTTAATTGAAATTTACTAAAACTATGTTTGTGTGTGGCTCTTACATGCTCAAATTCCTTTACTTACTTTGGTTGGGTTTTATTAAAAACTTATTAATTAGTATTAACAACTTATTAATTTAAGTGAAAAAAATTCAATTCTTTTAAAATAAAATTATGAGTTTAAGCGTTGTGAATAGAAAAATAAGTATTAGAAGAGTTTATCCTTTATAAAATCTTATGGAGCTTGATTATAAATTAATTAGAATTTAATATGATTTTCAAATATCGAGGATGAATAAAGAAAAAATTTATTTGTTTGGATCTAGAACCAATTTTGCTTGATTGGGTTAAAACATTGAGTTGTGCTGCTAGGTTGTTTACCTCGCCATGATCTCTTTGTAGCTTGTTGTGATTGTGAGTGCCCATCTTTAATTTGATTTGATTGGTATTATAATGACAAAATGTGTTGGTCTTGTCCAGCACTTAGTGGCCCAATGACCACCACCTGTCGAGACGTGCTTAGGGTTAAAAGAACTTGGCCCAAGTCCCTTTCCCTGTTCCCTGAAAAAGAATTTTACACTGTTTAAAAAAAAAAAAATATGTGTTGGTCTTTCTCCATACAGGTATATGGAAAAATATCTGGATGGGATGCGAGTAGTTAGCACATTTCTTTTTCAAGTCCAACCCCTTAGCCCAATGCCGAATTGTCAATAAAGTTAAAGCAATTCATGGAGAAAAGATATTTAAAAGTTAAAACCCAGAAAGGCATCAAGGACCACATAGGATCATCTCTGTCGTCCACAAACATAGCGGATGACATGACATGGGAAGAAATGCATGTTTCCTCAACTGAAATGAGAAAGATGAAGCAACTCAGTGCCCATCTCTATCAATCCAAAGCTCACATTGGCTAAATAAACTCGCGGATGGAAATTAATCGCACGATATGGATTAATTGATCGTCTCAACCAGCCAACATCGTCAGTCTAACCTTGCGATTGTGACAAATTTAAGTTGATTTAAATAAAGATGGTATCTAGATCTAGCCAAAAGTTCTTCCATATATATACGCACCAGGGTTTCGTTGGAGTCCATGACAAAAATAAAAATAGAATTTCAGAGAAGAAACATAAGAATGAGTGGGAATGCGGTGCTTCTGATCCTCTTGATAGTAACCAACCAAGGCTTGAATGGGAGTTGTAGACCCTTGCACGGGCAAAGGCCAAGTGACATAGGGGTCTCACAAAGAGGTCTTCTCCCGCCTTCTGGGCCATCTAATTGCACTTACATACCCGACCGTGTTGACAATAACGGTAACCCTTGTAAAATTCATAGGTGATGCTTATTTTTCATGTTTTTTCTGTTCTGTCAATTGTTCCCTTGTGCTTGCTGGGGAAAAATAAAATTCCAGCAATTGCTGTATATATTTTCTTAAAACTTTGAAATAGACTGTTAAACATAGTTTCTTTCTTTCTTTCTTTCTTTCTTTTTTGGTAATTAGGAGACAGCTGTAATCAACTCCATTCTCCAATGGTGCAAGTGTCAAATCCCAATCATTTGTGATGCAATGAAATTTTAATGTTCGGCAATTAAAAAAAGGAAGATCGTATCATTAATCACTTTTGGCAACTAGCTGCTCTAGTTTAATTATATTAATCGTACATAGCTTTGTTGACATCCAACATAAAAATTAGTTACCATATCATGTGTCACTTATTTTATAATTGTAATTAAATATGAATGTCTTGAATTGTAACATAGTCGTATCATACTCATATCTCAATGTGGGTGGTGTAAAAAAATTTAAAGAAAAATAAATTGGAGTACAAATAAGTTAGGCTGAAGTCTCCACTGAAAGTCTGAGGACCAGACCATTTGGGTCCGGTCTCACTGACTCACGAGCACATGCAATGCAATGTGATGGGTTATGTCTGTCTTTGACTGTACTGAACACACTGACTTTCATTTCCCAAAGACCAACGGAATTCCTGATTTGCCTGCTCCGTTTCCGTTATTAACCAAAAAACTTGTTCGAGAAGTTGTCTGATATTTTTCATTTGGTAGCAATTCATTAGTAGTATTAAATAAAGAGTAATGATGAGGGACGAAATTGGGGGAACGAAATTGAAAAACAACAAACGAATAAGGTGAAATTGATAATTTTGTATCCGTAATTTTCACTTTTTGTTCCTCAATTTCGTCCCCTATCATTACTCTTAGATAAATAACGAAATAAAAATAAAGAAGATTTAAGGGCCCGGCCGCCAAGTTTGATTGCATCATTCCGATTCGCGTGATATGCGCGTGGTGTTTACTAAAAATGGAGCAGAAACGACAGATTGAGCTTCTACTTACCGGCCATACATGTTTTGCTTATTTCTAATCTACAAAACAGCATAGGTATATTTCACTTTTGGTTGTTGGTCCACAATAAAAAACAGTTATTTTTTATTTTTTAATTATTCTCATTAATATATCATAAAAAGTGAGAATTTGGCTAAATTAAGCCGTCCCAGATGAACACAACCCCCCAAATGTTGCATTTCTTTTATTAGTTTATTATTCAAAACTTCCAAGTTTATGTCATTAAAACAGACTATAATTGGTTATTACAAACAGACAAACCGACCATTTAAACAACGACCTCATTAAGTTGAATACACTCATTTGTTGAAGATATACTATTACAACTTATAAGCACTTTTTTTTTT